GCTATCTCTGATGAGTTTACTTAGATCGAAGTGCTTGGTCTGCTGAGTTTACTTAGATCGAAGATCTTGGTCTGATGAGTTTAGTTAGATCAATTAGCTTGGTCTGATAAGTTTACTTAGATCGATGAGCTCAGTCTGATGAGTTTACTTCAATCGATGAGCTCGGTCTGATGTGTTTACTTGGATTGATGTGCTTGGTCTGATGATTTTACTTGGATCGATGAGCTTGGTGGGTTTATTTTACTTAGATCGATGGGCTTGGTCTGTTGAGTTTACTTAGATCGATTAGCTTGCTCTGATGAGTTTAGTTAGAAAGATGAGCTTGGTCTGATGAGTTTACTTAGATAGATTAGCTTGCTCTGATGAGTTTATTTAGATTGATAAGTTTCGTCTGATGAGTTTACTTTGATCGATGAGCTTGGTCTGATGAGTTTACTTAGATCGATGTGCTTGCACTGATGAGTTTACTTAGATTGATGAGTTTCGTCTGATGAGTTTACTTAGATCGATGAGCTTGGTCTGATGAGTTTACTTACATCGATGAGCTTGGTGTGTTGAATTTACTTAGATCGATGGGCTTGGTCTGATGAGTTTACGTAGACCGAATAGATTGCTCTGATGATTTTACTTAGAACGATGTGCTTGGTCTGATGAGTTTACTTAGATTGATTAGCTCGGTCTGATGTGTTTACTTAGATCGGTGTTCTTGGTCTGATGAGTTTATTTAGGTCAATGTGCTTGGTCTGATGAGTTNCACGGCTCACAGGATCGCGCTGTCTCCTGTCACGGCCGCTCAGACCCGTCGCCATCTTGCCAGACCTTGTCTGCCGTGCCGCTTCCAAAATTTTCTTTACTGTGTTTCATTTGGGGTAGTTTCTATTGCCATGTCTTCAATTTAAATTTTCTTCTAAGACATCTAATGTACATTAATCCCATCTAGTATGTTTCTCATATCACACATTGGGCAATTCACTTCTTAAAGTCAGATCTGCGTTTTCTTAAATATCTTCCATGTCTCTACTTAACTTTTTGTACATATGGAATACAGTTAAAATATCCCTATTTTATATATTTTTCAATGATAAATTAAAATTTTATTGAAGCCTAAATACAAGAGAGTACACAAACCATAACTGTCAGGCTCAAGGAATTTTCCCCAACTGAATAATATCCTCATTTTAATGTCCTTGTTTCCTAGTTTTAACATCTGTGTCAGTTCTGGTTTGGTCTTTATTGGTTGATTTATCTCTTTACTGTGAATCCTATTTGCTTCTTTGCATGGCTGGTAATTTCTTTTTTGTATGCTGGACACAGTGAATTTTACCTTAGCAGTTGCTGGATTGCTATGAATTGCTAGAAATATTCTTGAGTTTTGTTCTGGTATGTAGTTAGGATACCTATAGACAGTTTGATCTTTTGGGGTCTTGCTTTTAAGATTTGTTAGGTGAGACTACAACAGTATTCAGTGTAAGGCTAAGTATACTCCATTGCTAAGGCAAGACCCTTCTATATACTCTACCCAATGCCTCATGAATCTTGAGTTTTCCAGTGAGGCTGGTTGAAACAGGTACTATTTCCTTGTATGAATGATAGTCACTGTAACCTCAAATCCTTTCAGGTAGTACTTTCTCCAGTCTCATGTAGTTTTCTCATACACATGCACTGATCAGTACTCAGCTGAGTATTCAAGAGGCACCCTTTATAGGCCTCTGGAGTTTTCCCTCTGTGCAGCTTTTTCATTTTTTGATACTGTGCCCTACAAATTCCAGTTGACTTAGTCTGCCAGGACTCTTAGTTCCATCTCCACAACTCAGGGAATCACCTGGGCCCTGCTTGGGTTTCCACCTCTCTGTGCCACACCCTAGAAACTCTCTGAAGGCAATATGCTAGTGTAATTGTAGGGCTCATCTCATTTGTTTTCCACCTCTCAGGGATCACTGTTCTTCATTACCTGATGTGCAGTGTCTTATAAATTATTTCATATGTTTTCTCCACTTTTTTGTTGTTGGTCTCTGTTATTACATCTTAGCTGAAAGAGTAAGTCTCTTCACTTTGTTTTAAAATTATGACAGGATTCTGGAACTGTGAAACTCTGATTCTTCTACTGAACTTATGTTTAGCAGTTCTTTTGTCTTTGTGAATGAGTATAATAGCACTCCCCCCTTATCTGCAGGGGATATGTTCCAATCCCCCCAGTGGATGCCTGAAACTGAGGATGGTACTGAACCCAAGTACTGAGATATCATGATACCTGATCTGATAACCTAGTCTGCCCACTAAGTGACTAACAGGTAGGTAGCATATACTAAGTGAGTGTGGATATGCTGGACAAAGGGGTAATTCATGCCTCGAGTGAAATAAAGTTAAATTTCATCACATTACTCAGAATAGTGTGCAATTTAAAACTTGTGAATTGTTTATTTCTAAAATCTTCCATCTAATATTTTTGAGCTACGGGGAACTGAACCTGTTGCGAAACCTCAGGTAAGGGGGGGACTACTGTACAGTTGAAAATTTATAACCCTATCCATAAACAAATTTATGTATGTATGTATGTATGTATGTATGTATGTATGTATGTATGTATGTATGTATGTATGTATGTATGTATGTATGTATGTATGTATGTATGTATGTATGTATGTATGTATGTATGTATGTATGTATGTATGTATGTATGTATGTATGTATGTATGTATGTATGTATGTATGTATGTATGTATGTATGTATGTATGTATGTATGTATGTATGTATGTATGTATGTATGTATGTATGTATGTATGTATGTATGTATGTATGTATGTATGTATGTATGTATGTATGTATGTATGTATGTATGTATGTATGTATGTATGTATTTTAAGGCTCGTCAAGTGAAGCTGTGAGAGTGGAGAAGGAACAAAGAAATTTGTAGCTAGATGTGATCAATTAGTTGTAAAGTGCACTTGGACCAACCAACAAATTTTTTCTGATATAAATGAGGAGTATGCCTGCCCTGGAGTAATCTACTTTCAAAATATACCCTTAATACAAATTCCTGGCATCATATGAATAACATAAAAGACAGGTCAAGCTGATAAGGAGGCGATCCTGCTTCGCTGAATTGAAGTGATATCATCACAATTTCATTCACTGGAATGTACTCAAAGGGAAGGAGAATACCTGTCATTTATTGAGGACCTATAATATGCCATACCAAGTGTTAGCTGGATGCTTATTCTCACAACTCTTTAATAAAAGGCAGAGGAAACAATCTACGTAATGTTAAGTAGTTTCATCTATATAAGAACTAATAGCTGGACTTAATAAAGTTTTTGGCTGATTCCAAAGCTCTTTCCTCTTTCTACCCATTCCATAATGGCTCTACAACAACGGTACATTTCAGAAAGAGATGCATTAAAAAAAATAAACCAAAAAAACCAAAGTACAAAGCCCAAACTCTGCAGCTACCTGGAAATCTTTGCAATCTACTAAAGTTTCTTGATCACAATGATTTTACTATAGTATAGTTCCAGATTACGATTATTTAGGGAACAAAACAAAGAAAATAAAGAGAAATATGGCACTGGTCACATTATTATCTATTAGTTAAATGCTCACAAATTTTCATAGAATATATATTTAGTTTTTGAATAGAAATAATCTCTTAACTGGTACACAGGAAATATATTTGCTATTTTAAAATGTGAAGACAGTGCTTTTCCTTTGTAAATATACATGTAAAATATTCAAGTCTAAAACAAAACTATTCATACCTCTACAGCAGGTACAATGTCTATGCCAACAGTCAGAAATTCTTCAAACTTCAAAAATGGGTTAAAGCAGCTGCCAACATCAAGTAATCTGATCTTTCCTGAGGCTTGTAGCAACCTAAAAATAGATACTTTATATTATAAAAGGCAAACTGAAAATAAAATATAAAAAACATTCAAATATTTAAGAATAAAAAGATCATGTAGATTATTGATTTTTTAACTTTGGTCTCAGGACCCCTTTACACATATAAAAATTATTGAGGGCTCCAAAGAGTTTTTGCTGATGTGGATTACATATATCCATAATTTCCTTATTTGAAGTTAAAATGGAAAAGTTTTTAAAAATATTAATTCATTATAAAAACAATAAACCTATTATATGTTAATGTAAAAGATATTTTTTAAATTTAAAATACTAGACTTAAAAAAAAGGACAGTAAAAAGTGAGGCCTTATTTTATATTTTTTCAAGTCTTTATATCTGGCTTAATAGAAGACCAGCAGATTACAATATCTTCTTTTGCATTTGAGCTATTGCAACATCACATGCTATGCAGTCTCTGTAAGACTCCACTCTACGCTCATTAAAGAGTGAGAGTAAAAAAGGCAAATGACATATTATTATTATTATGAAAACAATTTTTTCCTGTGGAGGCCCCGAAAGAGTTTCAGATCCCCAGCCCACATTTTGAGAACTCTGCAGGTGAAAGAATCCATTTAAAAATTAATTCTCAGTAGTCAATATAATAATGTCTTTGTGCTTTAATTTGTCTTAGCAATTTAAAATGATTAAAAAGCATAAATAGGATTTTATAAGTTAAAAAATTCTTACTGTGCGCAAGAGCTTTCCTCATGTCCAAAAATAGTAGAAAAATGAAGTAGCAAATTCAAGATGAAACTAATATGGTTCTATGTAGCAATAAATAAAGATGGAGGAAAGCAGTGGATTTTATTGGTTGCAAGCCTGTAGTCCTAATGCTCAGACAGTAAAGCAACAATAAAAATATTATAAATATAAGTCAACCTCAGACATATGCCATTTTAATTGATGTTAAAATAATTTTCTTTAAAAAACTCATGAATACATATTATAAAAAAACAGGAAGGAAAATGTAGGATAATAATTAGGCAAAAACAGAATCTTGGTTCCTAGAAGTCTAAAGAGCAGAGAGAACCTGCCCAGCTTCTCTCCCTTGTACTTGGCTAGCATATTACCTTCGGGTCCGTGAGAGAGGTATTAAACTACAGACAGTAGTTTAAGCTCCTGGAAAAGGCACAGTAAGTCAAAATAATATAATCTGAAGTTGAATTTTTTTCAGAGAAGGAATATAATAAATAGAGTTTACATTTTTTTTTTTTTTTTTCTTTTTCCGTGTCCGGCAACAGATCGCACCCCTCAGTGTTGCCCCCGTCCCGGACCAGGGACCGGCAACGGGATTGCAACCCTCGGTGTTGCTCCCGCGCCTCGCTCAGCCAGTGAGCGGGAACCGGTCTGTACGTGGGATCCGAACCCTCGGGCTGGAGCGCCGCCGCGCTTCCCAAGCGGCGCACTTATCCAGTGCGCCACCGGGCCGGCCCCTAGAGTTTACATTTTTAACCAAACTTGATGTCCCAACTTTTTTTGTAAATGACAACAATCACCACTTGATATAGATCAACCTCCCAGATATAGTACACAACACAATATAGTACCATAAAAATAATGTGGACCAATTAAAAAAGATTTTTGCCAATAAAGTTTCATTTTATTTAATAATTCATCTGAAGAGGGCTATGAGAGTATGAGGAAACAGTGATTTTACCAAAGTAGACCTTGATTTTCTGTATCTATAAAACAATTCAATAATTCTGATTATGACATCCTGATGAATATCAATTCTTGCAAAGAAAAACTAGAAACTCTCCCAGTGACAACAGCTGCTCCTGGGACTCGAGATAATTTTCTGTACTGTAGCCAGTTTGGAAGCAGATTATTATGTAGTTTAGATGATGCCTATAACAATAATCATTTGGAAAGTTGAAGTAAGTTTAGTGGTTCTTGAAATATCACAATCCACTAGTTCCCAGGAAGAAAGAAGTCAGTGAATTTCTGTGGCATTATTTATAAGTTGCTAAACAAATCAAAAGATCCACAAGACAGGGGCCAGAGAAATGCCTTGCATATAGCTGGTATTGCTGTTGAATTAATACAAATTTGAATACCCAGATCACAAGCAATTACAACAAACGAAAATCTGTAATGATATGTAATACTATACATCCTACTAGATCATCATTCTAATCCTTACATGGGGCTATGGTTAAGAAAAAAAGTTTTGGAATAAGCAAGATCAAAACATGATTCTGTCCCTTAGTGTGTAATACAGGGATAATAATGATACCCATATTTAAGAGTTTTTACAGGATTAAATGAGATAACACATTTAATTTTTTTTTTTTTGTCTTTTCTGTGACCGGTAAGGGGATCGCAACCCTTGGCTTGGTGTCGCCCGCACCGCGCTCAGCCAGTGAGCGCACCGGCCACTCCTATACAGGATCCGAACCTGTGGTGGGAGTGCTGCTGCGCACCCAAGTGCCGCACTCTCCCGAGTGCACCACAGGGCCGGCCCACACATTTAATTTTTGACCTAAGGCCTGGTACATGATAAGTGCACAAAAATTGGTAGATATTACTGTTAGCCATTACCACTGTTATAGATGAAATATTTTGTGATTTATCCACTAATTATCTTCCTGAGCACAGTAAAAGCAGAATTTGTCTCATATTAAATTCTTTACTATAGATTCTAGTAAACTGAGTAGAAAATTTCTGATAGTCTTTAAAAAAAAATCCTTGTTAAAAATAGAATTTTCTATCTGGATGGAGTATTCTAAATCATTCAAGTTAATTCAAAATTATTATGATACAATCACCAATAACTTAACAATATCATAAATTAGCTTAATAACATCAATTCTCAGTAATATACTTAATCCATTTCAGATTCTTTGGTTAAGCTCCTTAATTTTTTATTTGCATAAAACACAAATGTACAATTTTTAAAAATTCATGCAGTGAACATCCATGTAATCACCACCCAAGTCAAGAAATAAAACACTGCCTGCATGACCCTCCCTGATGACACTCCTACCCCTTTCCATAATGGTAGCCACTACCCTGATTTTAGTGATAATCATTCCCTTGATTTCCTTTTGTATTCTTACCTATCTATGACTGAATGCCTAAATAACAGTTTAGTTTTGCACTACACATTTGCTTTTATGACTTGCTTCTTCCATTTGAAATTATGTTTGTGGGAGTCATCTATGCTTCTATAACTCACTTTCATTGCTGTAGGTAGTACCCTTATATAATACATCCCACTGGGACTTTGATTAGTGTGTAATTTCTGTGACAGAGTCATAGATAGTAGATTTTCTGCCTGCATTCATAAAAGAAGGAAATGCTAAATTTCAATTAAAAGTGAGTGAAAAGAAATATTTCTTTTTCTTGTTGAAGTTGATGGACCCACTTAAGGAATATGTGTCAAATGAACTAAATCTGGATAGGTTCATTTCACATAGTAAAAGCTGTCAAATGGAAAGAAAATTATTTTGAAGAAATGAAGCACTTCTTTTCTAAAAAACCTATCAACTGATTATGAGCTAAATAAACAAACAAAACAAAAAACCTTTGCAGATCATAAATTCTAATTTTTGATGTGAAAAATATTGCTACAACTATGGGGGTTGTCAATTAACCTGAAAGATCAAGTTCTAAAAATAGAAATGAGTGTATTTTGAAAGGTAATTAAAAATGTAAGTTTATATTAAATAGACACAATTATAAATATATAGCTATTAAGAATGATCTTAGTTTAGAAATCATTACTTTCTTTTTTTTTTTCCTTTTTTCGTGACCGGCAATGGATCGCAACCCTCAGTGTCGCGCCCATACCGGACCAGGACTGGCAACGGGATTGCAACCCTCGGTGTTGCTCCCGCACCTTGCTCAGCCAGTGAGTGGCTGGTCTGTATGTGGGATCCGAACCCTCGGCGGGAGCGCCATCACGCTTCTCAAGCGGCGCACTGTAGCAGTGCGCCACCGGGCCGGCCCCAGAAATCATTACTTTCATTTGAAATTTATCAAAACAGTGTTTCCAATCTTCTTTCAAATCCAAGTATCTTTAGTATCATTTTTTAAAAAATAGCTTTAAATGTATACATACCTATAATTTGACAAATATTTGTTGAATACCTATTGTACCCATTAGCCCTGTTTAAGAGCTTGAGATATCGAGTTGAGTAAGAGAGTCCTGATACTTAAGGAGTGAAGAAGACATACATGCAAAAAATGCAATTTCTGAACACAAACTTTCTGAAACTCTAAGTGCTTTCTGAAATGTTGTCCAGTCACTGATTTCATTGTATTGTAGTTCTTTTTAAGTCCCCAGTGACACCTTTTTGTTCTTCCTACCCTTAACAGTGCTTTAAAACTCACCTTGAATTTTAAAAACAATTTTAAAAATCTCTCATCACCTCTCCTAGAAAATAAAAAAAATACTTGAAATGGCTCTTTCATTGATTTATTCAAGATTTGAAACTTCAATTCCATTACCATGAATAAACACACATGTATATGGCAGTATTTTCCAAACTGACTTATGTTTTAGTTTAACAATTACAATGTTACTAATATGGGAATAATAATTGCACCTTCCTCATACTGTTGTATAATGATTAAATGAGTTATACATGGTCTCTCTGCTCTCTCTGCTTCTACCATCCTTGCAATGTGAGACCCCTGGGTCACTACTGCCACCACCAGATGGACTCTGGGGTTTCTGGCCTCAGAAACTGTAAGCAATAAATTTTGTTTTTCTTTATAAATCACCCAGTTTCAAATATTTTGTTATAAGCAACAGAAACTAATACATAAAATTGGTACCAGGAGTGGGGTGTTGCTTATAACAAATACTTGAAAGTGTGGAAGTGGCTTTGGAACTGGGTGCTGAGGAGAGGCTGGAGGAATAGGCTAGAAAAAGCCTAGATACTGGTGAAAGTTTAGAAGACAAGAAAACCAGGGAAAGTGACAGAGATTGGTTAAATGGTGGTGACCAGAACACTTATGGAAATA